TATGTGTGTGTTTGTGAGTGTATGTATGTGTGTGTTTGTGAATGTCTATGTGTGTGTTTGTGAGTGTATGTATGTGTGTGTTTGTGAGTGTATGTATGTGTGTGTTTGTGAGTGTATGTATGTGTGTTTGTAAGTGTATGTATGTGTGTGTTTGTGAGTGTCTATGTGTGTGTTTGTGAGCATATGTATGTGTGTGTTTGTGAGTGTATGTATGTGTGTGTTTGTGAGTGTATGTATGTGTGTCTGTGAGTGTATGTATGTATTTGTTTGTGAGTGTATGTATGTGCGTGTTTGTGAGTGTATGTATGTGTCTGTGAGTGTATGTATGTATTTGTTTGTGAGTGTATGTATTTGTGTGTTTGTGAGTGTATGTATGTGTGTCTGTGAGTGTATGTATGTATTTGTTTGTGAGTGTATGTATGTGCGTGTCTGTGAGTGTATGTATGTGTGTCTGTGAGTGTATGTATGTATTTGTTTGTGAGTGTATGTATGTGCGTGTTTGTTAGTGTATGTATGTGTGTCTGTGAGTGTATGTATGTGCGTGTTTGTGAGTATAGTATGTATGTGTTTATGAGTGTATGTATGTGCGTGTTTGTGAGTGCATTAATGTGTGTGTTTGTGAGTGTATGTATGTGTGTCGTGTCTGTGAGTGTATATGTGTGTGTTTGTGAGTGTAGTATGTATGTGTTTATGAGTGTATGTATGTGCGTGTTTGTGAGTGTATGTATGTGTGTGTTTGTGAGTGTATGTATGTGTCTGTGAGTGTATGTATGTGTGTTTGTATGTGTTTGTGAGTTTATGTATGTGTTTGTGAGTTTATGTGCGTGTTTGTGAATGTATGTATGTTTGTATGTGCGTGTTTGTGAATTTATGTATGTGCGTGTTTACATATTGCCCTTATTTCATTTTCTATTTTTTAATCTTTTGTTAAATATCCCATTGCTTGTTTATAATTTACTGATCATTATGTTGCACAAGTCACGTTTTCTTCATATTCACACATGTTAAGAAAAATTTATATATTTTAAAAACATTTACGTGTTATTTTTTTTTCTTTATTTTGAATACATACTTGCAACTAAATTACATAGCATTTGAATGAAGATTTCTTCCTCAAGATAGATACCTAAAAAAGAAGAAAAGAAAAAGAAAAAAAAAGTGAAAATAAAATCCGTTTAAGGCAACTCAAAAGCTGCTGAGTCATCGTTTTTTTGCTGTGAGCGGTGGGTGGGTGAGGTCAGTGTTATCCGTTTAAAAGTTTTCCCTTTTTTCTACACTTTTTTCTTTTTTTGGTGAAGGAGAATAAAAGATCGATGGGAGAGAGAGGGGAGGGAGGGAGGGAGAGGGAGGGAGAGAGAGAGAGAGAGAGAGGGAGAGGGAGAGGGAGAGGAGGGGGAGGGGGAGGGGGGAGGGAGGGAGGGAGAGGAGGGAGAGAGGGAGGGAGGGAGGGGAGGGAGGGAGGGAG